TCAAATGCCTTACTGAAATCAAGATAATTCACCTGTATTTTCTTTAAAAAATACAAGCATATGACTGACTTACCACCCACAGGGGAGTTCAGGGATGGAGGCATCTTGCCTGTGTCTTCCTGGGTGTGTTTTGCTGTTCTGGACTGTCCTCTGGGGACCAGAGCATAGATTTGAAGCTCTCACTTCATTGCCAGGGGGATGTGGCAATTTTGACTTCAAAAGCTTTTCATCCTCATCTTTCTGCTCTGTGTTGCTTAACAGTCTGGAAATTAAAATCCTTTTTGTAAATGATCTGAGGATATAAGAGTGCAACTATAAACCTGCAAACAGTACAGTAGATTGAAAAATCCTGCAGTCACAACCCTGTGTATTTTACAGATTCCATCGCACTTGCACCTCAGTCCTCAGCACTCCTCTAGCTCACCACTGCTGTAGTGTTTCATGCATGTTTCACTGGAGCGTTGTAACTGTGTGTCTGTGCTGCTATAGAATCAAAGAGCTGACCTGGCTGCTCTCCAGCTCTGTTTGATAATGGTTCTTAAGAGGAAATGCCTAATAGATGCTTGTGAATGAATTAGCTTCCTCTCTGGATTTTATTTTTTTTCTTTTTCCTTTAACAGGTCTCTCAGGCAGCTGCAGAACTCCAGCAGTACTGTATGCAAAACGCCTGCAAGGACGCCTTGCTTGTTGGGGTTCCTGCAGGGAGCAATCCCTTTCGAGAACCCCGATCCTGTGCTCTCCTCTGAAATCAGGTAATAACGTCACAGGTACCAGACAACAACCCTGATTTGAAACTCAGGCCCTAGGAGGGACGAGGGCACATGGTAATAGTTGTTAGACTCTTGACCTCTTGGTAGCAAAGTGTTCATCACTTCACTGCTGGGTATTCAGATTGCTTTTTGTTTCTTTTAGGTATGGCAGTTAAGCGTGTCTCTTTCCTACAGCACTTTGTAGAGCTGTTTTGTTCATGAGGATTTTGGCTGGTTGGTTGATCAGGTTTTTTTGTCTGAGCAACGTGAGGGTCATTAGCATCATCAAAAAGAATAAAAAAACTGCCCATGAAACACAGCTGTGTTTGACATTTAATAAACTTTTTGGTTTTTTTCCTTTTATAGACAAGATGATCCAGGAGTTGCCTTCAAGCATGATGTGAATAACAACTGCCTTTCCTTCACAAGAAGTCTCTCTCTGTGTCCTGACTTCTGTGTGGCTAAAACGATGCTCTAGATATTTATCTGTGTGTTCTCGTACTTCACTGTCTTTTGTTAATTTTAAGGGGGTTTTATGTAACTCTTATTCTTTTCATAATTGTTAACATTGTTACTACACTATGCTAACTATATAAATATTACTTCACAAGTTTAAATTTTAGGAAAGAAAAATGTGACTTTTTACCAGAATACTTATTCTCAGTCAACTGTTACACCAGAATGACAGCAAAAACTATTTGTATTTTCCAAAAGAAAACATCCAAAAAGTGAACTGTTAAATTATAAAGCTAAATGCTGATAGTACTGAAATAATATTCTCAAGGGGGATTTTGCTTCTATTGCAAGACCTGGAACTAACTACAGTCTTTTTCAAGTGCACCTAGGTCCATAAATGACACATATTAGAAACTTCTGGATACAATGTGTAGCACAGGCTTGATTCCTAATGCATGTTTCTTACAAAACTTTTAATCTGTAATACTTCTCCAAATTTGTATTTGCAAGGGTTCCGCCATGGTAGAATGGCCTTGTGTTGTGATGGAAGCCCACCAAGTCAGCACTAAAGATCACACAGCCACTTGCTCGTTCATACTCTGCTCTGGTGGAATGAGGAGAAAATACAGCAAAAGGCTGGAGGGCTGAGACAAAGCAAGGGAGAGGTTGGAAGGACACTAGAGATATCTAACCCAGCCTCCCTGCCACGGGCAGGGACGCCTCTCAGCTAGACCAGGTTGATCCA